TGATTAATGATTAAGATATAAACAAATGTAGTACAGAAAAAGGTGAACAGGCTCCCCCACTCCATAGCCAAATCCCCAAAACACCCCTCTATCTTTCTAAACTATATAAAAACATCAAATCCCCTCCAAAAGGATCTCACCAAGTTATGATTTTCTTATCAAACTATATACACTCTTCACTCTCGTACTCTCAACACACCACCCACTTCACACACTGACACGGCCACAGGTAGCGAGAGAGAGAGAGAGAGAGAAAATAAAAAAGGAGGGATTTTTTTTTTTTTTTTTGGTTTATTTTGGGTTTCTTGAGAAGATAATTCAATCTTCTTCTTCTTCATTGAGGGGGGTATAGGGGGTGTAGGTTTTTCCAAGTTATGCGTGCAGGGTCGTCTTCATCTTGCGCCGCTCAGCAGACGCTATCGGCGGAGGCCGCCTCCGTCCTCAAGCTCTCTCTAACCCTCGCTCGTCGGCGCGGCCACGCCCAACTCACCCCACTCCATGTCGCCGCCACCCTCCTCACCTCCCGCGCAGGTCTCCTCCGCCGCGCCTGCCTCCTCCGCTCCCAGGCCCCTCACCCTCTCCACTGCCGTGCCCTCGAACTCTGTTTCAACGTCGCCCTCAACCGCCTCCCCGCCGCCCCCGGCCCCCTTCTCTCCGCCCCACAGCCCTCCCTCTCCAACGCCCTCGTCGCCGCCCTCAAACGGGCCCAGGCCCACCAGCGCCGTGGATGCATCGAGCAGCAGCAGCAGCAGAGCCACCAGCAGCCCCCGCTAGTCGCCGTCAAAGTCGAGCTGGAGCAGCTCGTCCTCTCCATCCTGGACGACCCAAGCGTCAGCCGGGTGATGAGAGAGGCCGGCTTCTCCAGCACCGCCGTCAAAAGCAACCTGGAGGACGCCTCCGCCTCCTCTGTTTTCCAGTGCTACAGTACCTCCGGCGGAATCTACTCCACTCCCAACTCACCGCCGCCCGAAACCCACCACCCCATAAACCCGTTCTTTCACTCCCCCCAAAGCCCTTTCCTCATTTCCCCTCCAAAAAAGCCCGGCACCGTTTTCTCATCCCTGGACGAGGACATCAAGGTCGTAATGGACGTTCTTTTGGGTAGAAGCAGAAGGAAAAACACAGTCATTGTCGGGGATTCCTTGTCCATGGCCGAACATGTCGTCTCCGAAATTATGGGGAGGGTCGAAAGAGGGGACGTGCCGGAGCAGCTAAAGTCGGCCCATTTTATCAAGTTTCAGTTTTCCGGCGTGCCTCTCAAATTGATGAAGAGAGAGGAAGTTGAGATGAATGTTTCTGACCTGAAAAGGAAAGTCGAGTCCTTTGGGTCGGCCGGCAGCCGAGGAGTCATAATCTACACCGGCGATCTCAAGTGGACAGTCGAAACTGATTGTGATGATGAGAAAGAAGAAAATGGTGATGGGGTTTACAGGCCGGTCCATCATTTGGTTGCAGAGATTGGAAAGTTGCTATCTTGGTACAATAACAGTAACAATGGTTTAAGCAGAATGAGAGTATGGTTAATGGCTACTGCAAATTACCAGACTTACATGAAGTGCCAGATGAAACACCCACCGTTGGATCTCCACTGGGGCCTTCAACCTGTTTCAGTTCCAACTGGTGGCTTAGGGTTGAGCCTCAATGCTACCAGGTGAGGTCATATAATTAATTACTTTGTGTTTATTAGTATTTTTGTTTAATTATTTGTTATTATGGGCCTTTTACTGATTAGCATTTGATGAACTTTCTGAATCTTGACTGTCCCTTTTTTGGTTTTATGCCTAAGGAGTTGTAAAAGATGGTCTTTTCTAGCTTTTGTTTTGATTTTTGTCTGGACATGCTTTGCAATTCTGTTGTTGTATGACAGTGTGGTGTGAAAACTGAAAAGAGAAGGAAATGATGGTGTGGGTAAAAATTTGATTTCAGGGGCATGCTTTCCCAGTTTGTGTTTGGGATTTATTTTATCCAGCTTTATTGGGATGTCTGTGTCTGCCACATTTTTCTTTCGTTTTTTTTTTTTTTTTTTTTTTTTTCTCTTTTGACTGGTTTTGGTTTTGATGTGGACAAAAAATTTGAATGTTTATGGCTCCAAATACATACATATAAAAAAAATAAAAAAAAAAAGAAACTTATCTTTCTTTGATTTAATTTCCCTTAATTCAATGAGATTATATGATTCTTGTGCAGTGGCCATGATTCAAGAATGAACTTTTTCGATAAGCATACTACTCGTGATTCGGACAGAAAGCCATTCTTCGTCGTCCCGGAGGAACAAGAAGTTCTCACTTGTTGCCCCGAATGCAAATCAAACTATGAAAAGGAAGCAAACTTCAAGTCAATCCACAACAATTCCTTCTCGTCGTACTCGATCGACGATCATGCAGACAATGGTTCGCTCCATTTTCCCTACTGGCTAAAACCACATGGCATTGACTCATTTGTCAAGGTACTTAGAAATTAAATTAATAAATTATTTATTTATTTTTCAATATTCCTTGCAAGAACAATCCATAATTTTCTTCCTTTTTTTTTTTATGTTATTTCAGGATGATTTGGTTCAGCTGAGGAGGAAGTACAACAAACTGTGCCAGAATCTCCACAAAGGAAGCCATAATCCAATTAACTCTACCATTACCAATCAATCCTACCTAGCAACGGATTACAGTTATCCATTGTCGTATTCGAACTGGACAAACAAGAACAGCAGCATCAATTCCGATTCCGAAACAATCTCATTCACAGCTTATCCTTCTGTCAAGGCTAATAATAGTCATACCCCAAGCACGTTGCCTAGGTTCAGAAGGCAGCAGTCGTGCCATATCGACTTTAGCTTTGGCAATGGGAGTCCAAAGCATCAAGCAGTCGAGCTTAATTTGGATTCCCTTAAAGGGAATGATGATGATAGGGAAGTCAAGATCACGCTCGCCCTTGGGAACTCGACTTATGGCAGTAATTGTTCGCCGAAAATCAAATCTGCTAATGATAATGTGGATTTGGTGAAATTGTTTCAAGAAAACTTGCCGTGGCAGTCTAAAAACATCCCATCTGTTGTGGAGGCTTTATTGTCCCGTCCAAAAGCAGACAGTGGACACAAGTTTTTGTTTATTAAGGGAAATGATGTGGTTGGGAAGAGAAGATTGGCAGTTGGGATAGCAAGCTTTGTGTTCGGCTCCTCTGAGCTTTTATTCCGCACAGACATGAGAAAAAATGCATGGGACCGTGAGATGATGGAGAAGGCCTTGAGGGATGGAGAAAAGCTCGTTTTTTTAGTCGAGAATGTTGATTATGCTGACTGTGAGTTTGCCAAGTTTCTGGATGAAGCCTATGAGAAAGTCGATGGCCATGCAAATGCAATATTCGTTCTGACTATGAATGAGTCAGAGGCAAAAATCACTGACTCTGTAGTTCGAATGAAACTAGTCGTGACTGATGAGTCTAACGTTCCCGATCATAATAATAACAAACGGAAAGCAGATTGTGATTTGCCGATGATGGTGAAGAGCAAGAGTCAGAAGAAGACTGAGAATGAAAAACAAGTTTACCCAAATGTTTTAGACCTCAACATCATAGCTGAAGATCATCAGGATGAAAGAAAGGCAACTGAATCTGATTGGCTTATTAGGTTTATGGAAAATATAAAGAAGAATATTTACGTTTTCAATCGGGATATGGATGAAGAGGAGAGTGCGAAAGAAACGTTGTTGTCCAAACTTAAGGTTTGTTTTGAGGAGGTTAGTGGGTATAGAAATAATAGTAGTGTGTTCAGTGTTGAGGGTGGGGTGTTAGGGGAAATTTTACAAGGTTCGGGTTTATACGTCAACAGCTTGTTCGAAAAATGGGTTAAACAGGTTTTTGAGACGGGTTTACGAAAAATATTAGGTAGTGGTGAAGGTGAAGGGGAAAGGACTACTAAGGTTAGGCTGTGTTTAGATGAGGGAAAAGAGGAGATCTGTCCTCAAGATGATGGATTCATGGGGACATCTCTTCCTAAAACTATCCCACTCTCTTTCACAGGTTAAGAAAACAACAAGTTGTAGTATTATAATATTGCTGCTGTTTTTTTTTTTCTTTTTTGGTCATTTGTGGGTGTAATTAGTGGTTTTTTCTCTAAGATTATGTCTGGTTTGGGTTTTAGTTACAGCTTTCAGGTTGTATTCATGTTGCTTTATCCTCTGCTGAACTATGTTTCTTATTTTTTTGTGCATAAAACCAGACAGGACTAACATTGAAGTCCTCAAAATCTTGCAAGATGTTGCACTCTCCTTCATAAAAGTGGAGAGAATTGGTATTTAGGCCTAATTCTTGGACCAAAAAACTGTAAAGATTTAAGAAACAAACATAAAATCTTGTACAGCAGTGAGATTGTGGTTATTAACTGATAAATTGATATGTACCTGAGTGTTGGTGACTTGGTTCATAATCAATAAAAGTATATTACATTAGAACAAGTAAATTCCTCTCACAGTGAGATGGTTCTGAGTAGGACTGCAAACGAGTCGAGCGGCTCGTGAACCGTTCGTGAGTGCTCGAGTCAAAGCTCGACTCGAGCTCGAGTTTGACTGAACTCGAGTCGAGCTCGAGCGGCTTGAGCTCGAGCCCATATTTTGCATTGTCGATTTGCTCTCTATATATATTAAATTATTAAAATACCCCTTATATGTATATTTAAATAGCATAACATAAGTGGTTAATGGTAATTTTATTTAAAAAATTTCGATTCTGCTCGAGCATTTGATTTCAAGGCTCGAGCTCGAGCTCGAGCAATTGTATTTTCTTATCAAGTCGAGCTCGAGCTTGCAACTAAAAAAAATTCAATCATGCTCGATAAGGTCAATGCTCGACTCGATTCGACTCGTTTGCACCCCTAGTTTTGAGTATCAAATTAATATTGTAAATGAAGGAAATATCATGAAGTATTCCAAAGTAAAGCCATTATTGAACACCAATCAATAAAGGGGCCAAAGTAGGTTTTCTCATGATGAGAAATCTATCTATATATATATATATATATATAAAGGCACATCCTGATTTTGAGAAATGAAAAGTGAAAAAACAATGGGAATAGGCTTTATTTTTGAGATAAAGAGGATGTGGAACTCACTGGCCACAGAGGTCTCTTGAAATCCCTTTCTATAAATAATATTATCTTTGGGCCTTCTCAATTAGTTATATATACACTCTAATCATTCATCCAAAATGTGCCTTTTAAGCAGCTCATAGTTATGTAATAATATTTTATATATTGTTTTATTATTGTCAAACTTAATTAAGGTGAATATGTATTTAATAGATTATTAATGTTCTAATATTAAAGAGTCCAATTTGTGATGTTTGATTTGGACAGTAAGTTAAGTTAGACCATGGGGAATGTTAGTAAGACTAGGATTGTAGGTCTCCTCCTATATATACTACATGATGGGTCTAGTCTCGGATCTGGAGTGAACCGGTGGAAAATCGCCAAGATCTGGAATGAACCGATGGGAACGAGCTCAGATCTATCTTGATGGTCTCCAAACTGCTATCGAACAGCGAGAACACCTGCAAGAACTCAACGCCGGAGAGATTTCCGGCGTTGAGCCTCCGACGCTCAAGTCAGTATGAGAAAAGGGTGAAAAGAGCTGCTCTGAGGGAGCAGCAGCAATGGAGGAGAATGTAGAATGAATGGGAGTTAGGGTTTTGGAGTTACCTCAGCTCCTTTATATAGAAGTGAAAATTTACCTGAAGTCCCCAAAATGCCCTGGCCGACTTACTGGAAATGTCCAAAATACCCTGGTCGGTTCGCATTCCGTCCACTTCCTAGTCAGCATCTAGATCCTTCCTTATGTTTAATAGCTTCCTTCTTATCCTTGACAGTTTTTCTATGATGTATTGAAGTCCATCAGATTGTCGGGGATCTGTGAACCTCGGGACTTCCTCGGTCGACTCCTGCGTGTCGACTGGAATAAGTCGATTTCCCTGGAAAGACGAATAAGCGCATCAGGGTCTACTGACGATCGAAGATGACCCCGTCGACTCGAGTCTTATGGATATATCATCTAGTTCCCCCCAAAAATTACTCGAAGCGATTCTGAGCTTAAGAGTAACTTTTGACGACTGAATGTCTCACTCGAATCTTTCCACATATCTGTCGCCCATCGTTGCTCTAAGTTGCGCCCACTTGCTATCTCGACTCGTAACGCGACTTGTCTACTCAACAAATTTCGAATTGATTAGATAAGTCTGAATCTTTTCAAATTTCAAAATTAAAAAAATAAGGTCTCTGAACATTGATGAGACGCTTTCTCTCTCCACCGCTTCGTATTCCGTGCACCATCTCAACCGTTGAATATGACTTTAATCTAAGGGTTAGGGTTTCTCTGCTTTCCCTATAAGTTCTTCCCCCCTTTTCTCGTCTTCACTTTTCACACTCATATTTTCTGAACTCTCTGTTTCTCCAGCAAATACAACGCCTCAAGCTTTCCGGTGCTCCTTTCATTTTCCGACGTTCTTCTCGGATCTTTCAGGACTTCTCCGCTAATCATCATGAGTATGAGTAAGTTTTCTTTGCTTTTCGATTTGTTGATGTGTTGAAAATAATTTTTTTTTGTCTTTTCTGGGTAGTATGCTTGGGGCTTGTATGTTCATCGGATTTTCTGGGAATTTTTGGACGAGATTTCTAGCGGTTTTCTCTTGTTAGATCTTTAGTTGCAGATCTCTCATTCCTCTTAAGTGTTTTCGTTTACCAGTCATCTTGTTATGAGGGATTAACTCTTTTCTTTTCCTGACTTGGCCTTCATTTGTCAAGTCGAATCGATACGGGGAATATTTTCCTTGTTTCTTCTTTCCTTCTTCCTGTTGTCGAGTCGCCTTTCGTGCCTTTTTGATCCTTTTGTCGACCCTTATCTTTTAAAGTCGGATTTCGATCGTACTTTCCCATACCTACTATATTTCTCTCTTTTTTAGATTCCGACCTCGACCCCGTTTTTGATCCTGTCTCGGGTTCTCTTGCCCGTGAAATCGATGGATATTCGGGTTCGGACTCTGTCCACCTAATCGATGTTGGTTCGTGTTGTCAGAACATTAAACCAGAGGACTCTGTTAACTCCAATGCCTCATCCTTCGGTATCGATTGGGATGTGTACAATCAGGCGCTGCTTTCGGGTACACTTTGTGAGGATCCTGACGCTCCTCGAACTCTTGCATCTTCTTGTCTCGACTTGATTCCTCGAGGTATCTTTTGCTAGGTTCTTGTAGATATCCTTCATATAGGACAAGCCTTTTTTACTTGCTGGTGATGATTCCCTTGATCGAGTCTGTAATTGTGGCACAGTTCCTAATGTCATTTTCTTATGCTCCTGCAGCCGAATTCGATGGCTTCAGAGAGTTCAGTGGTCTTCCTTCTGATTGGGCCTTGGTTGCCCCAGCGCCTGAAGACGACTTCCGTTATCCTCCCAAGGGTTGTTTTACCTTCTTTGTGGACCAAATAATGTCGGGTTTGCATTTTCCGATTCAACCCGAGTTGCTATCGCTAAGTAACCTTTTTGATATACCAATAAACCAGTTCACCCCCAACTCTATTCGAATAATGGTGGCCTTTATAGTTGTTACCCGCATAGTTTTATGTAAATTTTTGCCCGAGTTCTTCCTTTACTGTTACGGTTATAGGTTTAGTAAAGACGCCCATTGTCTGGGTCTTCGAGTAGGCGTTACTTTCCTTGACGACCTTTCTTCAAACATTACTGAATGGAAGAAGAAATATTTCTTCGTTCGACCTGCTCCTGGCCAATATCCTTTTTCGAATGAGTGGATTGCCAGCAAGACAAAGCAACGCAAACGTCCCGACTCCTCTCAGTTCACGGATATGTTAGATGAATTGAATAAGCATGTGTGGAGCGCTCGTCGACTTACCAAAGATAATTCTTTACTTAATCATGTTGGTATTTGTGTTGACAAAAG